TGTGGTGTGGTCGTGGGTTGTGGGTTTCAGTCAACCACCCTCGGCCCCCTGTGGTCTGTGGTGTGGTGGTGTGGTGTGGCATGGTGTGGTGTGGTGTGGTGGTGGGTTGTGGGTTTCAGAACCGAGAACCGGGATCATATATAGATAGAGGGTCTGTTGAACAAATACGAGTTTGGAGAGCGAGGTCTTTCCCTAGGTCCTCGAGGTTTTCTGCTATCTGGTTTCGCTTGACATCACTTGACAGCCTTGAGAGTGGCATCTTCATGTTCAAGACGACTGATGTGGTACCGAGGGTTTGGGGTTTAGGGTTTGGGGAACATCGTGCTTCCGTGCAGGTACTCGAAGAACGAGGTGTACTGCGGCGCCTGTGCAGCAAGCCGCCCCTTGTATCAAACTTCTTTTCTTCGGAATCTGTGCCTCTGGCTCAAAGCGCAAGTGATCTTATCTCAGGTTTGATCCGCACGGCTCTTATTTAGATGAGATTGTTGGATTCTCCATGGCAGCCGCCTGGCTGAAGATGTCAATTTTTTTGGCATCAGTCATAGCCAGATTTATCGCTGGTGGAGCGTAGAACTTCTTTACAATCGGGTTTGTATCAGTTAGCGTAGTGAAAGGAAGAAAAGTTGTGCTACAGAAAATAGCGGCAGCCTGCAGATCGTCTTGGTTCTGCAACCTCATTCCTTACATCCTTGCGCGGGAAAGCCTCCCAAGAGCAGGGTTTCTGTGGACTCAGGTCCCGAGGTGCTAGGGGTAAGTGTAGGTAAGTGTAGTGTGGCCGCGGAGGAGAAGTAGGGGACTGGGTGGCCGCAGATTGGCGGCAGTGGGAGAATCGTCGTCACTACTCCTCCTGCTGTTCGACCTTCACAGACAGCGAAGCCAGAGACCTCCAGATTCGAAGGTCCGCACGAAGATTTCCAGAACGCTCCCGCACGCCCCCTACAGGCCTCCCGTGGCCCATCAACCGGCAGAGGCATCAGAGGCCTCTGAAAGGCCCAGAAGCCCCCTTTAGGATTTGAGGCAAAGTGACTCGCCATGCAGCTTTTTAATCTGAGGCCTTAGGGTTCTATTGGCAGTTGAGCTCGGGCTTCCTGGTGCCCTGGCCCATGAGCTGGCTCCCCGATGCAAGATGCGGACTTTCAGTTGCCAGTTGAAGGGGGGGGGTGGTTTCTGGTGACATGTTGGTGTGTTTCTCTTGATGCTGCTGTGATGACTGACACGACTATTCCTTTTGCCTGTTGTCTTCATCGCGGTGTTTAAGGTTGTTAACAGTTTCTTCTCTAATCATAGCGACGAAGAGGCTTGCTTGCAGCTCAGGCTTCTCTGGCCATTGACTGCACTGGAGACATTTCTCGAGCTGCAAATTTCATGGCAATGAAGTGGAACTCCTTCCGAGAGAGATCGTAGGACGACAAGGACACAAAGCAGCGCGCTGTAGAAACCGGCGCGCGGACTTCACACTTGTCGAAACACAGCCGGTGACCTGCAAATCAAGTTTTCCCGCCCACAAGTGGTGAGGTTTGCAGAGCATCTGTTGTAGCGAGCTGCCAGCATCTCGCTATGAATTTACTTCAGGGCAGGCTAAGTGTATGGGGTGGCAAGGTGGTCGGCGCATGATGCGTTTAAAGCCCAACACCGCTCCTGTGCGACGCCAAAGGCCTTGTCTCTTTTCTGTGCTCCCTTGTCTTCCCACTCCAGTCCATCCCACAAGTTGCGAAGCGTCCCAAACTGTTGTGTGAAGGATCCTGCCGTGGCATCACGCCTGTCGATGTTGGAAGAGGCCGTGCAGCAATACATCAGCACGTCGGGCTTTCAATAAGGCACCTGCGGCTCTTGCATGGGATTCACTTTTGTCACTGTGGTTCCTGCTTTCTTGGTTCCTTTGTCCGAGGAATGAGGCTCGAAATCTCACGGCCACACTGAAATTTCTTATGAAAGGCTAGTTCATCCCTCCTTCTGCCTATGGCGACTTTGTCAAGGACACTGCTCTTCTTACTCTGCGCACCTGCCATAAGAGCTTGTGCCGAAGGTACATGCGGCGACTTTCTTCAATTGGATCTCGCTGTTGGTCGCAGTAGCCTTGCTGCCGAGAAGATGCCCCAGACACAGTCGGCTTCGCATCCCTGGCCGCATGCTCGCGGGAAGGTTCCTGGGCAGTTCGGTACCACCGACATCGTGTTGGCCTTGCCAAACGGCCCAGCAAACTGGACGTGGCACAATCCGAGCGGCCAGTGGGAAGACATGGTGGCAGGGGGTACGGTCATCGATGTTGATAAAAATCTGTACCTCATGACTATGTGGGGATTGTGGAAGTTTTCGCCTTCAGGTGAGTTGCTGTGGTTCTACTCTACGCCAGGTCGCTCAGACAACGAGCCCTTCCTGAGTGGAGATAGACTCTTTGGATCCACCACAACCGGCTATGTCTTCGCGGTCGACAGGCACACTGGCCATGAAGTCTGGTCGAAGAAGGTGGCGGATAGAGCAGGTGGGGATGCAGCTTATCCCGCTGCCTTCGACGGAGTCTTCGTTGTCGCCTCCTCAAAGTTTGAGGGCTCTCCGGAGTACTTGCCTGGAGGGAACACCAAAGTTTTTGGAATGAGTGCCGACACCGGAGATCAGCTCTGGGAGTACGAGGCCGATACAACGCTCTGGAATCTTACGCCACTCTTTCCGGAGGATGACACCGTCGTCTTTATGTCTGCGGAGGGCAACGTCTATCGCCTGGGTTTGAACAATGGAACATTGATCTACAGAACGCATGCGAACAAGACGTCGGGCACCTTTTCCGACGGAGGGGCAGTGATTGGTCCGAACAAGCGCATCTACACCTGCAGCAACCTCGGAACTGGCAAGCCTTCGCAACCAGGCGTGGTACGAGCCTTCGGGCTGGAAAAGGGGAACTTAGTCTGGGAGCACTTTCTCTCGGAACCGTGCTGTACCTTCCCTGCAGTGGGACATGTCAAGGGTTCAGATTCTCTCGCAGTGGTGGTAGCGCGTGGGGCCTTTCCTGGTGGCTTTCACGAGGAAGGCAGCGTGTTGGCTCTGAATGCAGAGACTGGGGAAACGTTGTGGGAATTCAATGCGGCACCGTACAACTTTCCTTTTGCTGCCGGAGACGGTCAGCGCACTGTGCACCTTGTCATGCACGGGCCCTCGCCACACCTCATTCGCCAGATCTGCCTTCCGGCGCAATGGAGTGCTCCTGCAATCACCGGTGACGGCACCGTCTACATCGGGCGGATGGACGGAAAGCTCTATGTGGTGCATGGTGCCCTAGCAGGAGACGAAGTGGGGGAACTGATCAAGGACCCCGAGACCGGCGTTCACGCCCAAGTCTTGCAGGTTGGCAGTGCCCCAGTCCACGGTGCGCTGGGCTTTGCTGACGGTCTCTTGAGTTATGCCACCTGCGACTCACTTTACGTATGGCAGGTGTGAGCACGCGGAATCCGCGATGTGTGCTGGCAAGGATGTAGATGTCCATTTGTGCAGCACAGTAGCAGCTACAGCAATGCCGCGTGTACCGCGAGAACTCTTGAAAACACGCCATCTTGCCAATTTGACAGCAGCGTTGCCGAAGCTGTTTCAAGCTTGCAGCAGAGGGGGAGACATGCTGGACATCTTAAACTGTTGACCTGAAGTGCAGTAACAAGGGTTATAAATAAATACCTATAGTCCCAATTAAGGCACCTATAAGCATACTTCCTAGGTCCCTTGATCGCCCAAGTAGTATGCCTCATCTTAGAGCCGACCAGCGACCAAAGCTTCGCCTGCCAGGCCATAGCCGGGGATGCCGGAGGCGCCCCGGTGTCGGAGATCTTGCGAAGCAGCGGTGGCACGTATATTGTGGACCCTCAATACGAAGATCCTTAGGTGGAGGAAGTGTGAGGATCAGTTTGGTGTTGGCTGGCTCGGTATCTTTCAGGCTTGCGGAGCTGAGCAATTCGAGTTTCCGGCTGTCAAATCAGGACATTGGCGCTCCTTTTTTAGAGGACCACCCATAGAGCAACCATGTGAGCAGATGTGGCGCGAGTAGATGTTTGGAATACTAAATAGAGAGTTCTGAAGTGTTTACAGGAGAAGTACAGCTTCAGCAAGTGCGTACATCATATGACAAGTAATGCATGCATACAAGTGTATGTGAACATGTATATATATATATATATATGTATATACACATACATATACATATACATATACATATACATATACATATACATATACATATACATATACATATACATGCACATGCACATGCACAGACACAGACACATACACATACACATACACACATACACACACACATACACACATACATACATACATACATACATACATACATACATACATACATACATACATATAACCATGCGAACATGCATACACAGGACTAGACGGAACCTCTAAAGCTACAT